ATTACCTCGCTTATCGATCTGTCGATTATCCTTCTCTTTTAAAGAGAATTTAAAAAAAAAAAGAATTTTAAAAGATTTCGTTTGTTTGTAATGGATTTACGCAGGAATTGTTCCAATAACCTTACTAATTAAACTTTAGTGAAAGGCATTAAACTTAGTCGAATGCTAAAGTATTAGTAATGATCTGTTTGGGGATTGTGTCGGATCTTTCGATATTATTGAATCTAATAAAAATTTAGATTATTCTCCCCTTTTTCGGCAACAGATGGGAGCATCGTCTGGTAGAAATAGCATGCAAATTACTTTGGCTCCGTGTACAAAGCTTCTGGTCTTGTGTTAGGGGAGTTAAACACCCCGAATGTTAAAATTTCCTTTATTTGTAAAATTCTGTAACAGTTTTAAAGTTTTACCAAGTTTTCCATTCCGTGTCCATAATTAATTAGAAGATAACTTATCACTAATTTCGTATATAACTGGAGTAACTTTAATCTTATAAATTAATTAAAAATCATTATGTAAGACTTTAAACAGCTAACTTTACCCCTTAACAACGTCGGTAATTCCTACGCAACTTGCATAAAGAAACTGGAAGCATCATTGTTGGACTTTCCTTACATTCTTTATTTGTTTTCATCCCTAATAATTACTACCATTACATATAAGTCTCCAAATTGGTTCGGGAGATATTAAGAATGTAGGGCCGTATCTCCCGAATTAATGGTCCTATTTTCCTAAAAATTTCCAGAAACGTTTCTCTCTAATACACAAACCTCCCTACAAAATTTCAGAAATTTTCGACAAAGGGCACAGGAGATATTAATCTTTAAAGTGAGTGAACAAAATCGTTTTCCATACAGAAAAACCCCAACCTTTTTGCATTTCTGGACGTTTGAAGGTCCCCCGAATCTAAAAATGTAAAAATATTGCCATACTTTCCCTCTGTTATACGTAAAAGCCGAGATTAAGAATCTTCCTTCCTCATTTATATAATACAACATTCTTATATATATAAGAATTGATAGTATGTTGTATTATATAACGACGGATCTAATAAAACTAATGGCAATTTAGTAAATCATATCTCGATCCGGTTAAGTAGATACTAGTTAAGTAACTCGTTTTTACTTCATTAACGAGGACTTTATTGGTTTTACAAGAGCGAAAAAGTCATTTGAATGGCATTAGCTGTGGAAACTATAAAATTATATCATTAGAACAGTAGTTAAATTTACGAAAAGAAGGCCATTCTGCGTGACCTATTTGAACTGACAGATGCAAAGGCTGATTCTTATAACCCGATAGAAATCCTTTAATCGTCCATGCGTGAAATCCACTTATCATGTGGAAGTCTAACATTGGATGCTATAATCCATACGATGCGACATGTCATGCAAGAGAAAGAAAGATTCTCCCTCCGCTTTTTATATTTATTTTTTTATCCTTTTGTATCGTTCTTCTTCACATTTTTTTTCCCCATCCATCGTAACTATAGTTTTAACTTTAAATGATAGCGGAAGAAATATTTCATAACGGGGTGTTGCTATAAATCGTTAATCTTTCGTATAAAAGAACTTGCCTTTTCGTGTAAACTTCGTAATGGTTTATACTTTGATTTTTCGTCCTTTTAAACGAAAAGTTTACAAGACTTTCTCTTCAGCTTTTTAAGCGAAAAAAATCGTGTTTTAGAGAAGAATTTCACTTTTAAATAAGAGTTTTATTTCAGGAAAACGTTTTATAAAATATATTTTCTTTAAATAATTTTATAATATTTAATTAAAACCAAATCTAAAAGTTTGGATATAATCCCATGTTTTATTATGCATTACGGTAGCCGCCAAAATAGAAATCGAAAGCGCCACCTCATGTTGATTTTTTTATACGAAAGAACCTTTGTATTGCCTAATAACGTAAATAAATTTATAAATTTAATAATTTATTAAACTTTCTCTCAAATATTTAAATATATTATTATTAAAAAATAAAATGGTATTAATAGTTGAATAAAAAGGTATTTTATTTTATTCAATTTAAGAATTTTCGTATTAAAACTTGAATGCCAGAAAGAATTCGATAATTTATTATCATTATTCAAAAATTTTATTATGAATAAATGTATCTTTAAGCTTAAAATTAACTATAGTATTTATACATTATTATACAAGGCATATAATTAGAACGTTTACAATTTCAAGATGGAGGATAATCGTGTTTGAATCCGAATTCTTCATCTCTTATAATACCCATTAGATCAATTCATAATGCTGTTGCAACAAATATCTACGGATCAATTGCTTCTAGGATTGTACCAGCAGCTGCATTTAATTACTATAGTATATATTGTTAGTGTCAGTATCACTATTTTATGTTATTAGCCGAGTACTCTTTATCTTCGTCGAATCATATAAATGCAATATAATGATATTTAAAGCTTAATTAGATCGTTTCGGGTTAGACAAGAGGATAATGGAATTATTATTAATCTATAACTGTTAATGTTATAATTATCAAATGTTAGATACAGCTTTATATCAAAATAATAGAGATTTTGGGGGTAAACTTTGTGAAGGTATATGAATACTTGAAACTAAATATATATGAAAGAAGAGGCTTTTATACCAAGAAAAATCTCTTTTGTTAATGCAGAAGTAGCGAATGTGCCGCTTTGTTTATATGGAATTGTTTTTCTTTAGGTACTTTTCCTCTAGAGAATAAGGGAAGAAAGCTTTAATGCATTGTTGACAAGGGTGTTGGTTACTTGAGTTTTCTTTGTCCTAATTTTTCTCTAATCATTATTCGCTCATCTTCCCACACCAATTCTCACAGTTTCGGTAGCTTATAGCTGTATCTGGATGATATAAAGGTAATAATCAAATGCCAAAAGTTCTTAATGTAATTTTGTACCGCTAGATGGCGGTAAGTTATGGTACTACGCCGCCATTTTTATGCATCTTCGGTAATTTCTATTTTTAAAAAAAAATAGCTTGTTTTAAAATAATTGAACTTAAAAGAATGTAACCGAAGTGAAAACATACAAAACTTTTATTATTTTATCTATTTATGGTAAATATTTCAAGAGTTTATTCGTAAAATAAAACTTTAAAGGAGTGTTTTGCGCGTTGTTCCACACTGGAGACATATTATAATACCGAAAATCGTTTTTAAAAACAAAACGTTCTTATAGAAAAAAATGGATTTTTGCGAAAAGACACCATTATCATTTTGGCTTTCAATCATTATATAGAGAATTTATCGATAAAGGAGTCAAGGAGTTGTACAAAGGATCGTTTTCGCCCAACATAGAAACTCACTTGGCCATGTAGAAAACAAGATACTTGATACTGTACTTCTCAAGGGATCACTTCGTTTCGACCCAGAAGAAACAACTATGATGGCATCTTAGGGAATTTCAATATGAAAAATTCTTTGTGAATTCTTTTTAAAAATAAAACCGTAATTTTTATCTTCTATTTCACTAAAAGTTGAATTATTTTAAATTATTATTTATGGATTTCTTAATTTTATTTTTCTTGTTTCCTTTCTTTTCTTGACGCTTCTGATTTATTTTCAGTTCAATTCTTTAGATTTTTCAACAGAGATTTTTCTTTATATACTTTGACTATTTTTGACTCTCGAATATCCGTATTTATTCTTTCTGTTTTTATTCATTTATATATATATTTTATTTTTAAATTTGATTTTCCTTTCCATCCTTTTGGGCTTCGGTTATTTTTTCTTTTTGAAACTTTTGCTGTAGTAGATCCCACTTTTGATCTATGTAATTTACACTCTACTTTATCTAGATTCCTGCTCTTTAGATCCTACACTTATCGTTCTTTCGACATCATCACAACTCCAATTTAATGTTCCCCCCCTTTTTTTTGGTGCAAAAATTCCACCAAAATCGAATCGTACAATGGCAATATTCGATTAAAATCATCAAACTGTTTCAACCACAGATAAACATTGACATATATAATTGTACTCCATTCAAAATTTCGTTAGTGTGTCCATCAGCACGAACACGGCATTGTTAGCCATCGAACATTTATTTAATGACATGCGAAATGTGCTACTCGAATAACAATACTGTAGCAGTAGTATCTATGTTTGCTGAATTAACTAATCTCTAGTGTATAAGATGAAAAATAAGAAAATAAAATTTATCACTACAACTCCCTTCCCAAAAAAACTGCGTGTTAAAAAGTTGATTATCAAATAAAGCATTTAATAAATTTAATTATATGAAAAATTGATTTTTTAAGAGGAAAAATTCTCTCTTTTTTTTTTGGTTGCAGAATTAATACTTTCAAACACCTGTTTTAGATTTCCTAACTTTCTCCTGTTTTTCCTCTTTGACATTTTTGCACTCCTGATCTCTCGCGAGACTATTCGATCAACAAGAATTCGTGAAGTGTTTTCTTTTTCCTTTCCTTTGCTTCCTTTTTCTTTGTAAATTTTTTCAAACTACCTACAATAAAAATAATATAAAAGAGGTAAAGTATAAGATCAAGAGATCGAAAGAAAAGCCACATAGATTGAAGTCTAAAATCTCGAAATCCTAACCTGAATAACCATGGTTAAATTCGATGAAAATTTTATTTCTTTTTATCTAAATTCTTTATAATTTATTTTAAAATATTTTTTTTAATTATTAAAATTTAAATAATTTTGCGAGTTTCTTTCATTGAAATGTTTGCTGTAACTGAAGACGGTGGAAGAAACTTAAGACACGAATTGATTTTTCTAGCGATGCTGGATGTGGGAAAGTAAAAAATGATAATGTAGATGTGTGAAAAGAAAAATTTTCGATAGTCTTGTATATCTCGATCGGTTGCACGGTTTTGCACTTGCCCACATCAAACATCGTTTGATGTGTTATATAAAATATTAATGTTTATCGATTGCTTTGTTTAAAATCTTGATTGATTTTTCTCAATTTAGGTTATTTCCTCTGTCATGACTTCATTATAATATATACCCTGTGTCTTTTCTCTCTACAGGAAGAGAATGGAGCACGCACCGGTTCTCACGTCCCAAGCATCGATCCGATTAGCAGACCGGTGACGGACTATCAGCATGTGACGGCACCTACACAGAATACTATGTAGCGTGTGTGTGTGTGTCAGGGTGGAACTATGTCTAGCCAGCTGCCTCGCTCCCCGCGTCTCCACTGGCAGCCAGTGGTCTATGCGGTCTTTTCTGTTTTGCTACATCAGTGCACCGCCTTCGTCTGTCACCCCAAGTGTAACTGCATCTGGAGGAATGGCAAACAGACAGCGGAGTGTCTAGGACAAGGATTTGAAAAAATCCCGTCCGGTTTAGATACAGGTATACAAGTGGTCAATTTGTCACGTAACAATTTTCGTCACCTTCCTGCAAACGCCTTTGTGTTGGTAGGTTTGGTGAATCTTCAACGTATATACTTATCTAAATGTTCTATAGAACAGGTGGACGAATATGCCTTTAACAGAACATCAAACTTGATAGAGTTAGATCTAAGTAATAATCGTCTAACGCAAGTGCCGTCGACGGCGTTACGTCATCTTCCACTTCTTAGAAATCTGATTCTTAGTGCAAATCCCATCACCGCGGTGGCATCTCTAGCTTTTGTCGAACTGAAAGCATTAACGGGGCTCGAACTGAGCCATTGCAAGATCGATACAATAGATCTAAGAGCCTTCGAAGGCCTGGAACAGTTAAAAGTGTTGAAGTTGGACGGCAACAACTTGCAAACTGTTCCCGGTAAAGCCATGTTGCCGTTGAAAATGCTTCAGGGTATTACTGTGGACGAAAATCCTTGGAGATGTGACTGTCATCTTCGGTCCTTTCGCCAGTGGTTGGATAAGTATAACGTACCTTACGTGCCACCCGGATGCATCAAGCCAGTGAGATTAAAGGGAAAGGAATGGAACGAGGTGGATATCCTGGATTACGCCTGTGAGCCGACCATATTAAACACGTCCACAGTCATTAACGTTGTAGAAGGTTCAAATGTTACGTTGAACTGTAGAGTAACAGGTGATCCAGTTCCTGAAGTGCAGTGGTTGTGGAGAGAGAGGGTAATCGCTAATTTGTCGGAAGGAATTTCCTCTCAGCAGACATTTATTGTGAGGGAAGTGGTGGAAAACGACAAATTGTCTCAATTATCCATCACTTCCGTGCAAGAACCAAATGCAGGATCGTATATATGCACAGCGGAAAATATGGCAGGAAGGATGAGGAGAAATTTCACTTTGCAAGTGTCGCGTATACTAACGGATGTAGGCACGGTAGAAAGAGAAAAAACCCAAGAAGTTAAAGAAGAAGAGAAGGAGCAAGTGGAAGATCGAAGCAATCCAGTTATTGGATTGATAATTGGCATTGTTATAGGTGCACTTATAGTATTAATTATATTCGGGGTGGTGCTGTGGGTGTGTCGGAGGAGAAGACGTGGTGCTGCCCATAGGAAACGCACAGATGCCAACCATAAACTAGCTAACTCTGTGATTCCTCATTCGACGAAAGAGACAGCCGAAGACGTCGATTTGAAATTATTACGAGTTAATCCCGTAGAGAAACCACCACGAATGGGAGCGTACGAAGGAGTTCCAACAAGCGAAATGGATCACTACGATCCTTTGCAAGTGGAAGGAGGTCTTTCACCTCACGTCTGGGTTGTCAAATATCATATCCCTCCAGAAATGGAATGGGAAGAAGAACAGAAACAGCTACATCCAGGTGATAAGCGACTAAGTACGCGTGGCCCCATTCCCGTTCCCATGCCCCTTCCTCCAGAAGATATACATTCAAGACTACACACGGAGCTAACAGATACGTTAAGAAGAAAGGGTGATTCGAAAAAAGTTATGGAGAGGGAAAGGGGTGATGGAAGTTCCGAGTTAGAAGCAGTAGACTACGAAGGAAACAAACCAAACTTTGAAACTCTCAGGGTTAGGGAATTAGAGAAAAGTCTACGTGGTCCAGTCGAACATTCTCCAGTTGCAGATAAGAGTCCCGACTTGATAGATCACACCAGAAAATCTACTGAACATCCTGTCGAAGACATGGGTGATGTGCAGTGGAAAACGAGTGGTGCGGGTCCTAAAGTGTGGGATTCTTCCTACGATCATCCAACTGCTTACTACAGAAGTGATGTCCAATCAAAGCCTACATACGAAGGTGGGATTGATGGGACAGAAGTGTGAACTTTTTATAATAAAAAAAACGAGAGAGATAACAATTATAATCGGATATAAAAAAGAAAAAAATGAATGTCTAGTTGTTGCTCAGTTATCACTATGTACAAAAATAAGAGTCAACTAATTGACAATATAAAAGAACAAAGATTTTTTTCCGACGATAAAGAAAAAACAATCTATTTTAGGTGTGCTAATGCACAGAGAATGAAAAATAATAATAATTAAACATAAAAATGGACAAATATTTTAACTGTATCTAAGAAAAGCAACCAGTTTAAAAAAAAAAAAGTATCCTCTCCCCTACAGAAAATATGAATGCGGCCTTCAATATAGTACATATATATATACATACATAAACACCATCACATCCGTATGTATATATATAAGTTAGGAAAAGTGTGGTTTAAAGTCGTGTTCTGAACAATTTTTATAAATATACATACATATATACAGACAGACAGACATGCATACGAATCCCCAAATACAAAAGAAAAAAAAATACAGTTTAAAGTATATATATATATGTTTATGTAAATATATATAC